GAGAGAGAGAGAGAGAGAGAGAGAGAAGCGGTGTGGGGTCTGACTGACAGTTGACAGAAAGAGGCAAGTGAATTTTTGTTTACAGCTTTCCATTTATGGGGCAGAAATCTTCTCTTCGAAAAAGAAAGAGAGGGACCTTGTGTGTGTGTGTGTGTGTGTGTGTGTGTGTGTGTGTGTGTGTGTGTGTGTGTGTGTGTGTGTGTGTGTGTGTGTGTTTAGGTGTGCCTGCGCGTACGTGTATATGAAAACTAATCAGAAAATACGTTTATTCATTAGTTTAAAAAAAGACTAGTGGATAAGTGGATGACTAAACAGATATTTAAAAGTAAATCTGTTGTAATAGATGATCCGCATTTTAAAAAATAGTAAACTTACCAGCGCATCTCCCAAATTCTTCAAAGCCTTTATTCTCTGCAGCGTTGATTTTCCACGTTCCAAAATATTGCTCCATTTTGTAGAGATTGTAGAGATGTACACAAAAACTGTAAAACAAAACAATGTAATGTTTTTCAGTGTTTTTATAGTCGTAAACATTTTACAGTGGGTGGTTGGCGGGTGTTTTAGTGTGATTTGCTTCTTCTTTCCAATCAAACATCCATCTTCATTATCTCTCCTCCTTCTTTTCTGTGTTTGTTACTTTCTTTTAACACCTCTAATCTTCTGCACTTATATGACCTTATTGTGTTGCAAGTAAAGTAAAACACTTACTAAAACTTTAAAAAACGTTTTACACTAGCATTGACGCAATTTAGACCACTTCATTTAGAAGACTCCAATAGGATTCGACCCTGCCTATCAGGAACAGACACGGCTGGACAGGGATACAATATCCCATCCAAAAAAAGGAGATGCTTGATTATTAACCCCTATCCGTACGTCGTGTTTTACTATTGTATCCATACGACGTGGGGAACTCTGTGCCATCACTTTCCAAAGAGGAAATTTACTCGTTAATCCGATCCGTACACGTTGCATAGCGGTCTGTCAAAATGATTTTTTTTTTTAAAATACTGAAATTTTCAAAGAGATCTTCGCACTTGAAGTATTCTAAAATGTGGTGAATACAACCCGGGGGTACAAAATGACCCCTGGGCGTACGGATAGGGCTAAACAAAATAAATCCCAACATAGGAAATGAACCCAAGTCTCATGCTCGGAACGGTGGAGCGGCTAACTAACCTCTATGCTTCACACGCCAGTAATGTGCAGTTATTTTCGTCAAACAGAAATTCATAAGGCTACATTACGACAATATGAACATTTCTTTTTGGCCTCAAACTCGCCCAGGTCCCATAACTGAACAGGGATTCTGAATGAATGGAAGCAAACATTTTCCCAATTTTGGATTTCTTGCAAACTTATACGGGGTGCCCACTAAGGATTGCCCGACTCGGTCGCCTCAAAAACATTATTATTATTGTAGTGGGTACCCCGTATTACAATCCACAAACACGATGTTAGCTTGATGAAACTCACATTACATGGGTTGTTGAAGGGTATCGTTGTTGTTCCTATATCGTTTCGACCCCCAAATTGTTTTTGTTGCTTTTATTTATTTATTTATTTATTTATTTATTTATCGACTATCTCTTTAGTTTTAGTTTTAGTAGAGGTTTTACACGCTCGTAACTGCATAAGGTCATATGAGCGCCAGAAGATTAGACGTGTTACAAGAGAGTAATATACTTTAAAAAAGAAGAAGGGGGGATAAGGACGATAGATGTTTCATAGGAAAGAAGAAGCAAACCACACCAGAGCACCCGCCAACCACCCACCGACTATCTCCACCTGTCTTCGGGACGTTGTATCCTTCGAAGTCTAAAAGTCTGGATGGGCCGTGACAGGCAGGGTCAGAGCAACCGGCCACGTAAATTAATTATGCAAATTGTGTTGATGAGGCATAAAACATATTCAATAATTCGTTGGGGGGGGGGGGGGTTGGGGGGGGGGTGTTTGTTTGTTTTTTGGTCCCTTGCCCATTTCTATGTATATTGACGCCATCTGATTAGTAGAAAAAAAGAGTGTATGGTGAAAATTGTGAAATGGTATGAGTTTAACGCCCCTATCAACACTATTAGGTTATTTAAGAGGCAGGACCTCCTAATTCAACGTCCGTCTCCGATAGGACCGAACCAAGTGGGAAGTTCGTGTAAAGTGCCTTTCCCAAGGACACAACGTCGGACCGAGCAGAGGCTCGAACCCCCGAACCCGCAAAAGAGCGTATGATAGTGCCCAATAATGTATTACGTACATAACATATAACTGTTAGATACAGCTGTTCAAGGTAATTATAGATGTTTATGAAGGATCTGAAAGCAGTGATGATTTGAGAAAGTCGAAAGTCTGGATCGGTCATGACAGGCAGGGTCAGAGCAACTGGCCACATAAATAATGCAAATTGTGCTGATGAGGCATAAAACATATTCAATATTTCTACTACGTTAATTGGGGGCATTGGGGGGGTAGTTTAGTTTGAGTTTGAAAGCAAGAGTTTTAAGGCACTTGCAACACCAATAGGTTATGTAAGTGCCCAAGATTAAAAGTGATACAAGAGAGTAACATACAGTAACAAAGAAAGAAAGGGAGAGACCAGGACCATAGATGTTTGATAGGACAGAAGGAAGGATCAAACCACACCACCAGAGCACCCGCTAACCTCCCACATAATGAGGTCAGGTACATTTGGTTCTTAAGAGTTTTTTCCCCCTTCTACCCCCACCCCAAAAAAACCCACCAAAAACTAAACAAAAACAAACAAACGAACAAACAAACAAAAATTAATGATTAAACAAAATAAAGAGCATGAGTGCGACAACATGTACTCACCAACAGGTAACTCGACGTGCGTGTGCGTGTGACTGATGAACGTGAACAGACGCCCTGGTTTTTGACTCCTCTCCGTTTTGCCCGAAATGTATCTTCCAGTATATTAATACATTTTGTGAATTTTAATTTGAGACACATGATAGCCCAAGCTAGGAAATCCAACCAGCGAAACAGTATAATTAATATATAATAATATTATTGATATTTGAAGTTGATAGATTTGAGG